CGTGGCCCCAGAGCGACGGGCGGGTGCCCCCTGCAGCCTCGACCGGGCACCGACTTCTCGCTCGCGGGTGGGGCCGGTGCCGTGGGTGAGCGGTGGCCTCCCAGCCCCGCCGTCTGGTCGTTTTTTTTTTTTGCGCTCGGGCCGGGCGGCGGCCGCGGTGCCGAGCAGGGCGGGGGGTCGACAGCAACTCGCGTGCTGTGCCCTCGCAGTTCCGCCCTTAGAGTGCACTAGCGTGCGCGAGCGTCTCGGAATCGATGAGGAAGCGCCGACTGAGTATCGCTTAGCGTCGGCTTAGCGTCGATCAGCGTCGATTGGCGTCGGTTGGCGTCGACTGCCAAGAGCGAGCAAAATGGCATGGGAGGCTGGAGGCTCCCATAAGTTGCCGCAGAAGGAGTGGGAGGAGCAGAAGGATGACGATGAGGAGGCGGGGCGAGAGACGAAGAACGAGGCGAGGAGAAAGAGGCAAGAGAAGGCGTGGGGTGATCGGGAGGCGAAACGGCACTCTGAACAAAAACGCAAGGTTGTGAAACGGATTATGAGGGTGGGGGGGAGAGAATTTCGCGGCCCCCTCGGTGTCCACCCGCGGCAGTGTGATGCGGCCGTCACCGGGAGGCCCAACTCAGATCGTGCCTTGAACGCCGCCAAGAAGATCCGCGACGCAAACTATACGCGCCGCCCTCGGAAGACCCCATCCTCTCCCACATTTCTCCTCCTCCACCACCTTCTCCTCCCCCCGTCTTCCTCCGCGCTCCCCATCCCCATCCTCCCTTCCCCCCCTCCCCTTCCCCCCTCCTCCTCCTCCTCCTCCTCCTCCTCCTCCTCCTCCTCCTCCTCCTCTTCCTCCTTCTCCTCCTCCTCCTCCTCCACCACCTCCTCCTCCCCCCCCTCCTTCCCCCCCCACCCTCCCTCCACCCCTCGGCCTCCCTCTCGGCCAGTCGTCGTCGTCGTCGTCGTCGCCGTCCTCCAATTCCTCCTCCCCCTCCTCCTCCTCCACCTCCTCCTCATCTTTCTCCTCGTCATCCTTATCATCCTCGTCATCACCATCCTTATCGTCCTCGTCGTTGTCGTCCTTACCATCAGCAGCAGCAGCACAAGCAGCATCGGCATCATCACCACCACAACCATCATCATCGTTGTGATCGTCATCCTCGTTTTTGCCAGTACTAACTCAACTGAGGATTTATAAGGTGAAGTTGAGACGGGTAAGCGCCGTCCGGGAACTGTTTGACAGGGCCCGCAATTAGCGGTCGCGTGTGGCCATGTGTTCTCGTTGTTCTGTACGCGCGTGTGTCGGCAGCGTCGAGTTGCGCTACCTTATCGGTATCCATTGGTAATGTGTTGCCGACGACCCACAGCCAGCAGGCGGTCCGATGAGGGTTCGACCAGTGCATGATGAGACAGAGTTTGGTCGACAATTGTTTGCGACATGCCTTGCATTGCAGACTCCGTCGTCGTCGGCATACAGCCGCCGGTCAGTGCGCACATCGTGCTTGACCCGAGCGTGCGTCAACATGGCTTGGCGAGTGGTCAAACAATGTGAGCACGGCATGCAAGAAAAGGCGGCAATCGCACCACTGCCAATGGCATCACGCGACTCATTGCACACGGACGCAACGGAACGAATTCCATGAACGATGTCTTTCCACTGCTGAACCCCCTCAACCATGATGCACCCACCACCAGGGGTTCGAATCAACGGCAGGGTCGGGCAAACAGTTTCGGCCGCAGTGGACACTCTGTGGCAGCATGACACATCAGCCCTCATTTGTCTGACCCATGGCATCACTTGACGGGACCCGCCCTCTTTCTCACGTCTTCGAGACAGCAAAGCAAGCAACGCATGACTGTCGAGAGCAGACGAGCAAGATACAGAAGCCTCTTCTGAATCAGTACGCAATCGAAAGACACCATGCCTCCATGCTCCCGGGCATGAATATCACAACCTGTTGCGCCATCGAAGTTCACACGACCACATATGTGACGCACAGCACGCGTGTACATAGATAGTATTGAGCACGCGCACCTCACGAACCTTGTCAGAACTTTCACATGAGCATTATACAGAAGCTCCGACAATACCAAGCTATGACAAAACAAACTGCGAAGCGGCACTCGGATAACCGGGTTTCCAAACACTTTCCAGGTTGTTGGCGCATGCGAGGATAGCGCGCTAGTCGCCCGTTGGTTCGCGTATGGGATGCTTGACCTTCTAATCGCCGCCGCAGAGCCAAGGTGCTTATGCTCGGACATAGCATGCAGAAAGGCACCGCCTGGGGATCCCAGAACCGCTCTGAGTACGAAGTTTCATGTAGTTGTCGGAAGCACCCTTCCCACGAAACTTCATAACAGTTTCGGTTCTCCTTCTGTTCCAATTGAAAAATCAAACGGAAGAAAAAGAATTTCTCAAGGAGCACCTCTAGCAACGTGCGCGTGGCTTACCACAGAGGGTGGGGCGAGCACGCAAACAGCACCACACACAAATCTTCAACGAAGGCGATTTCGACAACATCTTCCTCTTGCTGGCTCTCTGCGCCGCTATCCGCCCAAAAGGGCGCAGCCGTGATTTCAAAGTAACGACAACAAGAGCGTAAGCGCTGTTAGGGACGACGCCACCAAGCTTGCAACCTTGCCCCCCGTCATGGTGTGCACGAACGTGTCGCACCCGGGACATTGGAACCGCGATTTCGAGTATAATTTGCAAACGAGCGCCGACACCTTCTTGCCAACCCCCACTTGCTCAAACGCAGTGCCATGTGATGCGATGTACTCACAGATCCACCCCCGCAACCTCCAGAGAACAACCACACTTGGCAAGGTTGTCGGTCTTAGACGCTGCGTCGCTTCCAAAGGCACTCGACCATCCCAAGACGAGCTCGCGCAGGACTTTGCCAAACGCTTTCGTGAGGTCCACGAACAGCACGAACGCACAGAGAGGCAAGCGCGGCAAAATCCAGACAACTCCGCGAAAAATGGTGGGCAAAATTTGTGTTGCGGCCCAGCACGGCGCTACGATGGAACTTCGGTAGACAAGCGGCGTACGATTTATCGGTTGCACTCGTCAGCGTGCCAATCATTACTTCGCCCATGTGATCGGAAGTCAACAGCCCTCTGCTATCGTCAGGCTCAGAGCTGGCACCTCTGCCTTTGAAACAAATCGACCCTACGGCCGCCTTTCCGCTGTACGGGTCGCCTTTCCTCGGTCATCATTGGGTCACATGTGTCAAACAGCTTGATTGACAGACTGCATTTTTTTTTGATCCGCGGGTGGAGAGCGCACCTCTCCCGGTCGAAACTTCACTGCCAGACTGTACCCGCCTGTGTTCAGCAGCTCGGCGCTGATGCGGTCAGGGTCCGAGGCCCTGATGTCACTCAGAGCCTGAATCGACTCCTGCACTCACGCGGGGCTCAGTACAAACGGGGAGTCAGCTCGCGCTCCAGGGCGCGACACCAGCTCGTCCCGGCTTTGCACCAGGGTGCCGCCGACCGACCACCTCCATGAAATGACGCTGCCAACGATTGCACCTTTCTTCTTTTGTCGCGGAGACGCTCCCACCATGCAACTTCACGGCCTGAGAGGTGCGCATGTTGTGACCCGCAAGCGCCTTGACGACTCCGCACGTGCCTCTCATGTCAACCTTGTCAGCAAGCCACGGAGCCTTGAAAGCAAGGATTTCGAAGTGGAGCGCCCTGTCGCAGTCAATGACGCCACGAACCCCATGCTGGGTGACAACAATGCTTCGGTAACATACTGCCTCAACGCGACGCAACGACAACCATGTGTTGCGAATGTCAGCAAGCCGAGCACCAGCAATCCGACCGACTCTGCACACGTTTCGGCTGATGAGTCATTGCAGTGTTCCTGTCGGGGGCGCGTTGGGTACGACTCAGGGCGCGTTGGGTACGACTCGGGGCGCGCCGAAGCAAACATCATGAAACAAGCGTGCAAATACTACTTCCGCTGTTGCCTCGCAACGCGCATGACACGACGACAAGGACCGGCTTGCTAAAGCAGTCCCCACGCGTTGTCGGATATCCACCCTTTGGACGGCGACTTTGGTGGAGATCCGAAGATACAGCATGCCTGTGTCAACAGAAACGCATTGACCTCAGCAACTTGCTCCTCGACGGAACAACTCTGGCCAGGCACGAAGTTCCATACCGCACGCTCAAACTGGTCGCGAAAATACACACTGTCCAACGCACGGGTATCAAAAGACATACGGGCTGGCCTCCCCCCGCATACGACTCGTACCACCGACGGTGTCGCCAGCAGAAAGCAGATGGTCCTCCGAAGCGCCTTTCGAGAGGTCAAAATGGCACAACACGTGGCATTCACGAACGCACTTGCGTAAACATTCATCAGGGCAACATAACCGGTACGATGTACAGATCCACATGAACATCTCCACGTGTAGCCCGTGGCAAACCAAGTGTTATTGGCATAGAACATGTGATCACGAAGGAAACACCTAAGCAACATGCCGTTCTCAGTCTCCTCCTCCGGTTGACATAGCCCGATGCTGGCGCATTAAACAGATCGCACCCGTGTGTTAGCATCGATCAGCACCACGACATATCGACCTTTCCTCCTGGCACTGCCGACGTGGCACGCAAGCGAATCCCAGAATTGAATACTTCACTTCGCTTGGCGACTCGCTGTGCGGAGCATGACACGACTAGAAATAAACGACCGCCTTGCAGCCTCTCCACGGGCCAATTCTTTGCACGATGCGAGGGCCACGCGGCAAGAAAGGTTCAACGACGCAGGGGCCATCGCGTCGCGCCCACAGTTGCGACCTGCAGCTCCAGACTCTCATCGGCCCTGGAAACGAACAGATCATACGATACATCCGTGTACTGCTGGTCACGCTGACTCCTCCCCTCTTGGGTACCAGCGACATGTATCCCAGCGTGGCGAACAGCGCACTCAAGTAGCCAGAGCCGCCCATTGGCGGATTGACCTTCGCCAGACCATTGCCCAGCAAGTAACGAGCAGACGTTGGCTGAACAACAAGCGAATTCAACTGGCTGATCGGTTTGCGTCCTCGGAGGCCCTGGAAGGGCCTGGGTCCCCGTTAGGAGCCGGAGGGAGGGGGAGAGTCAGAGGCGAGGAAAAAGATCTAGGTCCCAGAGCGGCTTCACTGGCCTCTCCTGTTCGTCAGCATCTAAAATCTAATGCGCACGGCGTCTCTGCTGCAAGGGCACTCTCTGGCATTTTCCCGCTCACCTGGCGATGCCCGTGGCACCGCGCAGTTCCATGTCATCATCCAGGCCGCTTGCTGCGACCTTCGACGGCGACAGGTCTGGGGACGAACTGGACCTCCCCATCTACCTCGGTGGCGGCTTCGGTCGGTCAGATGCCTTCCGAGCCTCAGCCGCCACGGTGACGAAATTCTGGTACAGCGTGTTCATGGCGGCTTTGGCCTCCCCCACGATGCGCCTCGGGACCACTGGCGACGACTGCTGGCACACAGCACGTCCTTCAAGGCCTCGGACATGCTCAGTCCCGACAAACACCGACCGACGACGAGGTCACCTGCGCCTAGAGCCTCTTGTACTCGCTCTCCAACCTGGTCACGTCGAGTTTCGACGCGTCCACTTCCTTCTGCGCCTCCGCGGGCGCACTCTGCGCTTTGAGGCGCCGCCACCGAGCTCGCTCCAAGGCAGCTGCAAGCGTCGCCAGTTTCGCAGACAGAGGCTTGCTCTGCGTAGTGGCGCGCTCGGCCATGACAATCTGCTCCTCCAAGTGCGAACTTGTGGAGGCGAAGAGCCCGTTGTCGGGCAGCTCCCGCAACATGCCCCCCTTTATGACCTTGATATCACACGAGCTTGGCACGGGCGGAGCTGCGGCGTGCGTACTGCCCTCGAGTGTGCCGATCCCCCCTTGCCACGCGGTCACTCACATCCGCCTCCTCCTCCTCCTCCTCCTCCTTCTCCTCCTCCTCCTCCTCCTCCTCCTCCTCCTCCTCCTCCCTGTCCTCCTCCTTCTCCTCGCCCTCCTCCCTATCCCTCTGGCCGCCGCCCAGGCCGGCCAGAAGTCCGCGAGGGTGGTGGAATGCGGTTGCGGTCGCATGTGCTGCTACTGGTGCAGTTGGCTTCTCTGCTGCCCCTGCTGCTGCACAACTTGTTGCTGCTCCTGATTTGTCAGACGCTGCAGCTGCGACTGCCGTTGCTGCAGCTGCTGCTGGGGCAGATGCTGGTGCTGGTGCTGGTGCTGGTGCTGGTGCTGCCATCCCTGTCCTCCAGGTGCGAAGGATTTCGCGAAATCCTTCTGAACCCCGCACTTCCAGCACTTGCCCTTTCTGGATTCGCTCCACGGCCTGCAGAGCGCGCACTGAGCCCACGGCGAGCTCCATCCATCTACCATGCGCGCTGCCAGACCGACATGACCGCGAACTACGACGGAAAATGTCGATCGAAACACGGTATCTTCATCCTCCTCCTCCTCCTCCTCCTTCCTCCTCCTCCTCCTCCTTCCTCCTCTCTCCTCCTCCTCCTTCTTCCTCCTCCTTCCTCCTCCTCCTCCTCCTCCTCCTCCTCCTCCTCCTCCCTGCTCCTCCCGCCTCCTTCCTCCTCCATCCTCCTCCTTCCTCCCTCCTCCTTCCTCCTTCCTCCCTCCTCCTCCTCCTCATCATCATTCCTCCTCCTCCTTCCTCCTTCCTCCTCCCTCCTCCTTTTTTCCTTCCTCCTCCGTCCTCCTCCGCCTCCTCCTCCCCAGCGCCCTCCTCCGTCCAGCGGCAGCCGGCCAGATCGCGGAGCCACCCACGGAGGCCGGATCGCGGGACAGCCCGCCGGGCTCTCCTCGGTCGGCGGCCCGAGCCGATCGCCAGGGCGGGACCGCGCCGGCCAGGTCGGCGCAGCGGGACCGCGCAGCGGACCAGCCCAGATTTGGAAGAGGGCCAGCCCAGATCTGGAGGAGGAGGAGGAGGAGGACCCAGATCTGGAGGAGGAGGAGGAGGAGGAGGAACAGGAGGAGGATCGACAGATCGTGCTGGACGGTCCTCAGAGCCCGCCTCTGGCCTCGGGGCCCTTGTGAACAGTTTCTGCCCCGGGCGAGGAGCCTGGCCAAGGCGGAGGCCAAGGCGGGCCCTGGGAGGGGTCCAGCAACTGGTTTTGAGTGGGAGCTGTAGGTGTAGGTGTGCGAGGGAGCGGGAGGGGGAGGGAGGAGAAAGTGAGTGGGGGGCGGAGGAGCGAAGGAAGGGTGAGGAGAAGATGGCAGCAGAAGGGAAAGGGGAGGGGGAAGGGAAGGGGGAAGAGGGGGAGGAATGGGGAAGAGGGAGCGCGAGGAGGACGAAGGGGAGGACGAGGGGTATCGGCGTGCGTGTTCCTTTCAAGGTGCCGCCATTTCTTCGACGACTGCATGAAGGCGTTCCCAGAGCTCGCCCTGTACATGGTTGGAGCCGAGGACGGAACAGAGGCGCTGACATCGAGCGGTCGCACACCCGACGACGAGTACCAGAGAACCATGGGAGCTTTGTTCGCGGTTTATTGGCTCATGAGGAGCCTCGTGCTCCTCCTCTTCCTCCTCCTCCTCTTCCTCATCCACCTCCTCCTCCGTATCGTCCTCCCCCTTCCTCCTCTCCCTACTTGCGTACACACCTCCTCCTCCTCCTCCTCCTCCTCCTCCTCCTCCTCCTCCTCCTCCTCCTCCTCCTCCTCATTCTCCCCCTCCTCCTCCTCCCCCTCCTCCTCTTCCTCATCTCCCTCCTCATCCTCCTCCTCCGCCTCCTCCTCCTCCTCTATCTCGTCCTCCCTCCTCTTCATCCTCCTCCTCTCCCTACTTACGTACACTCCTCCTCTCCCGCCCCTTCCTCCTCCTCCTCCTCCTCCTCCTCCTCCTCCTGATCATTACCCTCGTCATCCTCATCGTCCTCCTCCTCCTCCTCATCATCATGATCCTCACCCTCGTCATCATCATCATCATCATCATCATCATCATCATCATCATCATCATCATCATCATCATCATCAGCGGCAGCAGCAGCATCATCAGCATCATCCTTCCTTCCTTTATCTCCCCTCCCTCTCTCTCCCTCCCTCTTTTCCTCCGTCCCTCTGTTGTGTTGCCTTGTTCTCTCTCGCTCGATAGACCTGTCTTTCTATCAACATATATATATATGTATATGTTGCCTCCCTGAGATCATACATCTTATCTTGAACCGAATTCACGTTCATCATCATCATCATCATCATCATCATCATCATCATCATCATCATCATCATCATCATATGATTACTATTTCCCTTCTCGTCTTCCGTCCTCCCCCTCACCTGCTTCCCACTGTTCGACCACATCCCTCTCCTACCATCTACTTGGATAGGCCACAAAGGAACTCGATTGGAAAGCCTCACAACAGGAATCCTCGGAAAGCACCACGAAGGGGTTCTATTGGAAAGCCTCACAACAGGAATCCGTTGGAAAGCACAACAAAGGGATTCGATGGGAAAGCCTCACAACAGGAATCTGTTGTAAAGCGCCACAAAGGGATTATACTGGAAAGCGTCACAACAGAAATCCGTTGGAAACCACCACAAAGGGATTCGATTGGAAAGCCTCACAAAAGGAATTTTTGGAAAGAGCAACAGGGGGATTCTACTGCATTGACATGCGCCACAAGAAGATTCGATTGGAAATCCTCGCACCCCCCCCCCCCCACCCCAGCACCCCCAAACGACGGACTGGGGAGGGCATCCTCCTCAGCACCCCCTCTTCCGCTCTCCCTCTGTCCCGCTCTCCCATGATGATGATGAGTATGCTGAGAGTGATGATGACGATGATGGTGATGATGATTCGATCGAAGTTTGCTTAGAACCTCATCCATGTTCAGTAGGAATCCTCTCGATCTGGGATCAATTCCGTGTCCCATTGAAATCGTATCCGGTGTCTATTCAAATTCAATCGGAACCCGTTGTATATGGGATCTGCTCCGTCTCAATTGAAACCATTTGAGATCCCCATTCGGATTCAATCGGAATCCACTTGGTATGGCATATGATCCCATCCAATTGAAATCCGGCTTTTTTTGTTCTATTATTGTACATATGTTCTTGGGAGGGAAAGAAACATACATAGATAACGATATATAGAGAGAGAGAGAGAGTGGAAAGAAAAGAAAAATATCCTGGCGAAGGACCCAACCATATGCAATTGTGAGTACCGCAATTGTAAATATCTTCTTCGGTGGCGCTCCCTATGGGGCCACGAAACGTGTGAGGGGTGTGCCGAAATGGGTGTGCGGGACGCATGCGGGCACACCCACTGGGACCTTCGGTGGAGCCCCCCATGGGGCCACGAAGCGTGTGAGGGGTGTGCCGAATTGGGTGTGCGTGACGCATGCGGGCGGCAGCACTGGGGCCTTAGGCAGGGCTCCTATGGGGCCACGAAACGTGTGAGGGGTGTGCCGAATTGGGTGTGCGGGACGCATGCGGGCACACCCGCTGGGACCTTCGGTGGAGCCCCCTACGGGGCCACGAAACGTGCGAAGGGTGTGCCGACATGGGTGTGCGGGACGCATGCGGGCACACCCACTGGGGCCTTCGGTGGAGCTCCCTATGGGGCCACGAAACGTGTGAGGGGTCACGAAACGCGTGAAGGGTGTGCCGAATGGGTGTGCGGGACGCACGCGGGCACACCCACTGGGGCCTTCGGCGGAGCTCCCTATGGGGCCACGAAACGTGTGAAGGGTGTGCCGAATTGGGTGTGCGGGACGCATGCGGGCGGCAGCATTGGGACCTTCGGTGGAGCCCCCTACGGGGCCACGAAACGTGCGAGGGGTGTGCCGAAATGGGTGTGCGGGACCCAGGCGGGCACACCCATTGCGGCCTTCGGTGGAGCTCCCTATGGGACGACGAAACGTGTGAGGGGTCACGAAACGCGTGAGGGGTGTGCCGAAATGGGTGTGCGGGACGCATGCGGGCACACCCACTGGGGCCTTCGGTGGAGCTCCCTATGGGGCCACGAAACGTGTGAGGGGTCCGAAACGCGTGAAGGGTGTGCCGAATTGGGTGTGCGTGACGACGCGGGCACACCCACTGGGGCCTTCGGCGGAGCTCCCTACTGGGGCCACGAAACGCGTGAAGGGTGTGCCGAAATGGGTGTGCGGGACGCATGCGGGCACACCCACTCGGGACCTTCGGTGGAGCTCCCTATGGGGCCACGAAACGTGTGAGGGGTGTGCCGAAATGGGTGTGCGGGACGCATGCGGGCACACCCACTGGGACCTTCGGTGGAGCTCCCTATGGGGCCACGAAACGTGTGAGGGGTGTGAGGGGTGTGCCGAAATGGGTGTGCGGGACGCATGCGGGCGGCAGCACTGGGGCCTTCGGTGGAGCTCCCTATGGGGCCACGAAACGTGTGAGGGGTGTGCCGAAATGGGTGTGGGGACGCATGCGGGCGGCAGCACTGGGGCCTTCGGTGGAGCTCCCTATGGGGCCACGAAACGTGTGAGGGGTGTGCCGAAATGGGTGGTGGGGACGCATGCGGGCGGCAGCACTGGGGCCTTCGGTGGAGCTCCCTATGGGGCCACGAAACGTGTGAGGGGTGTGCCGAAATTGGTGTGCGGGACGCATGCGGGCGGCAGCCACTGGGGCCTTCGGTGGAGCTCCCTATGGGGCCACGAAACGTGTGAGGGGTGTGCCGAAATGGGTGTGCATGCGGGCCACTGGGGCGGTGGAGCTGCATGGGGCCACGAAACGTGCGGCACGCATGCGGGCCTGGGGCTTTCGGCGGAGCTCCCTATGGGCCACGAAACGTTTGAGGTGTGCCGAAATGGGTGTGCGAAACGGGCGGCAGCACTGGGGCCTGAGGTGGGGCCACGAAACGTGTGAGGGTGTGCCGAATAGGGTGGCCACGAAACGTGTGAGGGGTGTGCCGAATTGGGTGTGCGGACGCATGCGGGCGGCAGCATTGGGGCCTTCGGCGGAGCTCCCTATGGGGCCACGAAACGTGTGAGGGGTGTGCCGAATTGGGTGTGCGTGACGCATGCGGGCGGCAGCACTGGGGCCTTCGGCGGAGCTCCCTATGGGGCAACGAAACGTGTGAGGGGTGTGCCGAATTGTGTGTGCGTGACGCACGCGGGCGACAGCATTGGGGCCTTCGGCGGAGCTCCCTATGGGGCCACGAAACGTGCGAAGGGTGTGCCGACATGGGTGTGCGGGACGCATCTGGGCGGCAGCACTGGGGCCTTCGGCGGAGCTCCCCATGGGGCCACGAAGCGTGTGAGGGGTGTGCCGAATTGGGTGTGCGTAACGCATGCGGGCGGCAGCACTGGGGCCTTCGACGGAGCTCCCTATGGGGCCACGACACGTGTGAGGGGTGTGCCGAATTGGGTGTGCGTGACGCATGCGAGCGGCAACATTGGGGCCTTCAGCGGAGCTCCCTATGGGGCCAAGAAACATGTGAGGGGTGTGCCGAATTGGGCGTGCGTGACGCATGCGGGCGGCAGCATTGGGGCCTTCGGCGGAGCTCCTATGGGGCCACGAAACGTGCGAGGTGGGTGCCGAATTGGGTGTGCGTGACGCATGCGGGCGGCAGCACTGGGGCCCTCGGCGGAGCTCCCTATGGGGCCACGAAACGTGTGAGGGGTGTGCCGAAATGGAGGAGGCAGGAAGGAGGAGGGGGAGGAGGAGAGGAGAGGAGAGGAGAGGAGGACGCGGGGCGACGTCTCTTCAAAACGAGGACCCAACACCACAGGATGGTTGGTTGGGGGGGGAAACGGGGAGAGTTCCTTTGTCTCCTTCCCCTCCTCCTCCTCCTCCTCCTCCTCCTCCTCCTCTTCCTCCTCCTCTTTTACTTGGGATACGGTGTGTGAGAGAAAGAGAGGGGGGCGAGGGGGGGGCGAGTAAATTCTCCCCTCTTCCTCCTATTCCTTTCTCCTCCTCGTCCTCCTCCTCCTCCTCCTCCTCCTCCTCCTCCTCCTCCTCCTCCTCCTTTCCTGCACACATGCGTGCATGACAAAAGAAAAGAGAGAGAGAGAGAGGGAGAACAAAAATTAGCCTGACGAGGGACCCAACCATATGCAGGTGCGAGTACCGCAATAGTGATTCATTTTTTCGGTGGCGATCCCTATGAGGCAACGAACCGTGCTAGGGGCGTGCCGACATGAGTGGCGTGGTACACAAAGTGAACGAAAACGATTGATCTGAGTACGTAGGGAGACTGAGCGCGGGTGAATCTGCGCGCGTGCGTCTGACTGTGAATGATCTGCGTGCGAGCGAGTCTACGTGCATGAATGCGAATATGACAAAGCGTGGTGCAAATGTGTATGAATGCCAATAGTTTGACAACGACTGCCTCTGAATACTCGTGACGCTGGGCGTGGCCGCCGCAAGGAGCTTCCCCGGGACTCCCCGACGGCATCGCCCGCGCGCCGCGACGCCAATGTCGGCGCGCCCCCCCGCGAGGATCGCGCCCGCTTCCTCCCCTTCCTTTACTCCCTCTTTGCCCGCGCACTCAAAAGTCCAAGGCTGCGGGAGCAGCGCAGCGCGGAGCCCCCGCGACG